CTGGGGAGGCGCGGGCCCCACCTGTAGATGCAGAGCTGGCGCCCACTGAGAAGCAGCCTCCCTCTGAGAAGCCCACCCCTCCCCTCGCCTGGGCCCCTTGGTGCGCGCCGCCACGCAGGAGCAACGCCTCGGGCGCAGCGGACACGCCGATCCCAATCCCGGGGGTGCGCCGGGGGGGGGGGCAGTGCCATAAGGGGGGGGGACCCTCGCAGAAGCCACGGGGGGGCCTCCCCCGGGAGCGGTCGGGCCGTCCCACAGGGGGCTCTCCCGGGCAGGGGGGGGCCCTTCTCTCGGAGAGGGCAGGGCAGGAGGAGGGCCTCCAAGAGAGAGGCCGGGGGGGGGCCTCGCTCAGAAGGGCGCCCCCCCCCCCCTCTCGCCTGGCCCCCCTCGCCGCGCGCCGCCGGCCATCTTCCACGTCTACAATCACCACTACATGGCCTTCCTGCACAGCCCGTACGCCAGCGTCGAGGAGGTGCCGGAGGGCTCCCCGCACGCGGCGCGGCACGCGCGGCAGCTCTACCGGACCAGGCTCGCGGAGGGGGCGCCGCGCGTCCCGTCGGGCAGCGATCAGACTGCGCCGGATGGTGTGCCGCTCTCCCAGATGTTCAGCGAGGGTAATTGCGATCGAACAACACGCACCCATACCCATGGGGGGGACAGAGGAGGCTATGGGTACGTGTTGTCGGATAAGGGGTCCCCGCTCGAACGGGAGCTTCCCCCAGGGTCCGACAACTCGCACCCATGCCCATAGCCAGTTCCCCTACTTTCGACCCTCCTATGGGTATGGGTGTGAGTTGTTCGCTCGTCAGGTAACGGCGGGGAGATGCGCCAGAGCTGGCACGGCTACCCAAAGGGCTACGCCCAGCTCCTGTACTCGCCGTCGTACTTTGCCGTGGCGGACATGTCCATCGACACGAAGAACCGCGACCACCCGACAGTGCGGGCGCTGGGGCCCCTCCCAAAGGCAGCGTACGGCGGCGCCGCTCCAGCCGATCAGGAGTACAGCGGCCTCCTGGAGTGCCCGTGCACGGACCGTATCGACCGGGCGCAGTGGAAGCCTTTCCCTGCGTCTCGTTGCCCCGCGCAGCCGACCTCGGATCTCGGTTTCATCCACAATCCCACCTGCCAGGCGGACACGTACGTCGGCGGCATCATGTGCTGCGACGGCGGCAACATCCTCCTGGATAAGGATCAGAACCCCTGGCAGGATGACATCATGACGTATTATCTGAAGTTCCGGTTCTACTTCCAGGAGTACACCCCTGGCTCCCATTTGAATCTGCAGCGGCTCTACTGGCAAACAGAGGTCGCCGCTGGAGAGTATGATATCGTCCAGTGTGACCCTGGCACGCCTCCCTCTCAGTGCGTTTACACCATCACTTCGCGCTGGTCGGTCCGGCAGATGGGCGAGACCTGCAGCACATCCGAGGGCGGTGCTTGCACCGGCCTCACCAGCGCGGACCCTGCGGAGACGGCTGGCGTCGAGCTCATTTACGCGGGGCCGCACTGCCACGCCCCGAGTTGCCTCTCTATGGAGCTGTACCACGCGAATACCGGGAAGCTCCTCTGCCACATGGATGCGCAGTACGGGGCCAGCGACGAGCTGTATGACGAGAAAGGGTACGTGCATTTGCCGCCGTGCCTGTGGGGCCACGAGGACGGCCTGCCGAAGCCGTTGCTCCTTGGCCTCGACGACGAGCTGCTCAGCATCAAGAGGAACAACAACACGTACTACCACTATGGCGACATGGCCTCCTGGCAGATGCGCGGAGTCGTCGTCCCGAAGGCGTCCTCGGAGAAGGTGCGGAACATTCAGGTCTAAGCAGGCTCGTGCATAGTCTGCCCACACACTCATTGCAACACAAATTTTGACCTCACACAGCGCATCTCATGGCGATGACGCTGCACCGCTCTACGTTCTTCTGAAGTCCTGTACCGTTTTGCCGAAGTCGGTTGTGCGGCGTGTGTTTGAAGCGGTTTTTGACCCGAGCATCGGTAATTTTAGTCTAAGGTCACCTTCAGAAGTCAGGCACGTGAATCGTGGAACCTTTCTAGGACCAATGTGTCGCTCTGGGGATCACTTAGGAGTTCGCGTGATACTGCTATGTCCGCGCCGCGCGTTCCGTCTCAGCGTTGCACGCACCTTTAAAAGAGAAGGAACCGCATAATTTACATCGCCATCATAATCTTCCTCATCCCACCTCTATTATCATCCAACCTCCCTTGTCCTAATCCTGCTTCGGCTCCCCCTCATCCTTCCTCTGCTTCCCCTCGTTCGCCTCTTATCATCCGCTCCATCATCCTGATGGCAATTGCTCCCCCCCTTCTTATTCGTTTCGCATGCTTGGGTGCATGCCAGGGATCGACCTGAGAGGCGTTTGGGCGATTCCGTGGGCGTGCTTTCGTTTCGATCCCGTTTTGCGGCACAGGCGGGTTGGAGACACGTCGAGGGACAGCGACACCAGAACGAGAACGAGCACAACACCGTTTGGGTCGATCCCCGATGCCTGCGATCCCTCGTGGAGGTTGCGGCCTCCACGCCGTGCCCCGGTGGGCATGGGCGGGCCCCTCCAAGCGGAGCGCACAGGTCTCTGGCGTTCGCTCGCTCGCTCGCTCGTTCGTCCTTGCCTCCCTCTTTCTCGTCTTCTGCCCTCCTCCGTTGCGGCGTCACGTCTGATTGAGCTCTCACGTGAGCCCTGTCAAGGGCTTCGACGCGGGCGACTCCGTGAGCGCAGCATGCCAGCTCCAGAGAGCGCGGCGCCAGGGAGCCGACTACCATCTCAGAAGTGGCAGTCGATCTCCCGATTGTTCGCCTCTCGCAATCCCGCCGTCCTTGCTGGCGCCGCACACCGTCCAAAGAGCAAGTAGTGGGTGTATCGTTTCAAAAAGGTGCTCTCGCCCTGGTTGCCTGCTTCCTCGGCTTCCATCCTCGTGCCCCTGGCTGCGCGAGTGGACGGTGAGTTTTTTGTCAAGACGGTGGGGGGAGCATCAGACAATGCAGAATCTAGGGTTTGGAAGCCTGTGGAACTCCAATCGAGAACCGGCCATGGGTATCACCGCAACCCTCACCTGATAACTTGGCATCGTTTGGACGTGTGCATCTTTCCTTCGGCGAGGACCATCGAGGAGCATTCTTGATCATTTGGCGAAAAAACCACGCACGAAACCAAACAAACACAGGGAATGGACGTCCGAGCGATGGCGAGGACTCCTCCAAAGTCTGCAGCATCCTGGGGACATCCCTCAACGAAGGCCTCCCGCCGTGCTGGGGTCTCCTCCTCGGCCTCGCGCACCTCCGAACACAACGTCCACCGTCTACACTCGCGCGACCATTCCTCGACCTTGACAGTCGGGGCGCTGAAGAAGGAACCCTTTTCGTTGGGGAGGGGCTCGGGGTTCCTGGATTGTTGTGCAGTTTGCCCCAGGTTTCCCTGAGGGCTTCCATGGGAAATCGGAGTTTAACTTTTGGGAAAAAGGGCCTCGCTCCCTATTCAGGGTTCCTTAGGTCAGCGCCCCGACTGTACGACCCGGCACTCCAGATTGCACAGCAGCCAGCCAGCACGGATGGAGGGCGGCTCCTCTGTCGATGCCGGATCTCGCGCGAGGCGTTCTCAGCGCGGGCAAAATTTGTGTCCATATCCGCTTCAGCTTGGGGCTTCGGACCCCCTTCCCCAGAAAGCCGAGGAGCACCGGACATGGATGACAGTCGGGCCCCTACCAGAGGCCCGAAGTCTGTCCATGGCCAGTGCGCCTCGGCCCCGCGGCGCCCCTTCCACGAGAGTCCAAGGCGCCCTGGAGATGGATGCAAATGCTGCCCGCGCTCGGGGCGTGCGCCCACGAGCTCGGCATCCTGCAGGGCGCTTTCGGCGGCCGGAGGGCGCGCCCTCCTCGAGGGGGGGAGGCCGTCGTAGCGTGCCTCCTCGGGGAGCGTGCCTCGCGGGGGCGGCTCGACGGGCGGAGGAGGGCCTGTGCTCCGCGAGGCGAGGCCGCCCTGGGCGCCCTTCGAGAGGAGGGGGGGGAGGAGGAGGAGGAGGAGGAGGAGGAGGAGGAGGAGGGAGGAGGAGGAGGAGGAGGAGGAGGAGGAGGAGGAGGAGGAGGAGGAGGAGGAGGAGGAGGCGGAGGAGGAGGGGAGGGGGGAGGAGGAGGAGGAGGGGCAAGCTAGGTGCGCTCGCGTCATATCTGACGTCCTACCCCTCCCTCCCATCCCTTACCATGGCGCTGATTTTCTCTATCCGCGGACGCGTGTCGTAGCGGACCTGTGGCTCCGCGCGCGCGTGCGTAGTGGGTGGTGGTGCACGTGCGTGCGTGCGTGCGTGTGTGCGTGGTTGTCGTGGTGGTGGTGGTGGTGGTGGTGGTGGTGGTGGTGGTGGTGGTGGTGGTGGTGGTGGTGGTGTGGTGGTGGTGCGTGGTGTGGTGGTGCTGGTGGTGCTGGTGGTGGTGGTGTTGGTACTGGTGCTGGTGCTGGTGGTGGTTGTGGTGGTGATGGTGGTGGTGGTTGTGGTGGTGGTGATGGTGGTGGTGGTGCTGCTGGTGGTGGTGGTGGTGGTGCTGGTGCTGGTGGGTGGTACTGGTTGCTGGTGGTGGTTGTGGTGGTGGTGGTGGTGGTGGTGGCGGTGCGGCGCGGTGGTGGCGGGCGGATGGGCGCGCGAGAAAAAGGCCCGCGCTGGGGCGAGAACACCATCCTGAACGACGGAGGCCAAGCACCGATCCGAAAATGAGGCCCACGCTGCAGCGGGAGCACGATTCGGAACGATTCGGGAGCAGAAATGAGGCCGGCGCCTCAACGAGAGCAGCATTGTGGGAACAAATGACGCCAGCGCCTCAGCGAGAGTCGTTTCTCGGGATTTTCCGGGCATCCTGTGTGGAAAAAAAACAGTACGCGGATGGTGCGCGGCTATCACCTGGACGCCTAATTGTGGAGGAGGAGGGGGAGGAGGGGGAGGAGGAGGAGGCCCCCGAGGGCGAGACCGCGAGCTCCTGGGCGGCGGGCGGTCGGGCCGCACCCGCTCGAGAGGGAGGGAGGATCCTTCTCAGCGGGCACCTTCGTCGGGCCCCTGAGACGGGCACCGACGGGCCCCTCGTCGCCGAAGGGGGGGGGGGGGGCGCCCGCAGTGGAGCGGGGCAGTCTCGTGGGGACTTCTGGTGGGGGGGGGGACCTGGGGGACGGGTGGAGGGTGTGCCGCAGGATCGCTTGACGCACCTCGGTGTCTACTCTGGCCTCTCTCTCCTTCCTCCCTCTCCTCTCTCCTCCGCTCCTCCCCCTCCTCCTCCTCCTCCTCCTCCTCCTCCTCCTCCTCCTCCTCCTCCTCCTCCTCCTCCCTCGCCCTGTTCGCGTTCCGGCCTGCTCCTCCCCTGTCCCCTTCCTGCTCCCCCCCAATCGAGGTCCTGGAGAGGGAGTTCGAGAACCAGAAGGCCGTCGGGGCGGGGCGGTGAGCGCCCGCGCGCACGCGCGCTTCGCGGGCACCCCAGAGTCCCCCCCCCCACCGGTGGGCGCGTGTGCGGCGAGGGGGGGGTGGACGAGAACGAGGAGGGCGAAGGAGGAGGACGAAGATGAGGAAACCCGTGGAGGCCAGGTCAAGCCTGGGCACGATACACCCAACACCTTCATGGACGGGTAGAAGACAGTGGCGTAGAAGACGATGAGCAAGCACACCGACACGATGCAACCCGCAGGGACTGGCCAGCTGCATGCTTCTTTCACCCACCAGCCAGAAACTAAATTGATTAAGCACAAACATAACTAGAAGCACAATGCCGAAATGCTGCACCAAAGCCTGCATGCCATGACCGCCACACCGGACACAATGAGGCCGCGTACTCCAAGACGTGTAACGCTTGCCACACCCACGCTATGTGGCCCTCGCGCAATAGCCGTGGCAAGACATGATGAACAATGCCGTGTCCGTGAAGAAGACAAAACAATGAAGACAATGATAAAGACACGTGGCAAAAGTAGTGGCCCGCAGTGAGGCAATAAACTGTGCCAGCTCCAGCAATTCTCGCAAAGTATGTGGCAAGTTGCACACTACTTTCAACCACCAGCCAGAAAAGAACCATACAAAACCCACCACGTGAAATACACTGCCGAACACTGCACCAAAACATCCTGAGGGCACACCAGGCCCCAGGGCGAGGGGAATTCTAGCCAACACGGCTCATCCCTCGAGCCCTAGATCAAAAAATACATGAGCCTGATCCACTACAAATCGATTGCACAATGACAACCCGTGGCAGCGGACCCCATGCCCACAACGATGACCAGTACGCCCAGCACCCCATCCACCAAGAAGCCCTGCCTCATGAACACGAGGAGACCACCAGGAAAGTGAGCTGCAGCGGCATGTACCCGCAGAGAGGCAAATAACTTCAACCCGGCGTTGCCAGGAGCACCTGAACCTCAAGCAGAAGGTGGCGGTGCACCTCCCCACATTTAGCCCCAGGACGACGGCCGAGCGGCGTTGCGGGGGGCCACTCGGGCCACCGTGGTTTGAGAAGGAGCAGGACGAAGGAGGAGGAGGAGGAGGAGGAGGAGGAGGAGGAGGAGGAGGAGGAGGAGGAGGAGGAGGAGGAGGACGAGGAGGAGGAGGAGGAGGAGGAGGAGGAGGAGGCGGAGGAGGAGGAGGAGGAGGAGGAGGAAGGCGAGGAAGGAGTAGGGCGAGATTGGGGGGAGGGCAGGAGGAGGAGGAGGAGGAGCAGGAGGGCGAGGAGGAGGAAGAGGAGGAGGAGGATCATGAGGAGTGGGGGAAGTAGGATAACCAGGAGGAAGAGGAGGGGAATCTGATCAGTGAGTCCAAAAGACGATGTGAAGGAGGAGGGGGAGGTGGAGGAGGAACCCTTCCCATAGGCGAGGATCTGGTCGCATGCGAAGGCCAATATGTCCCAAGAGATACCCGCAGCACGGCCCAGAATGACCCAAGGTTGTTGGGGGGAGCGGGGCTGGAGTGCAAGGCTCTTCCCCTTCTCCCTCCGCATCCTACCCCTGCTCATCCTCGTCGTCATCGCTCCCGAGCACGTGTCCCCCGTCCTCTCTTTCCCGACGACGGGGGTGGACACGAGGGGGACGGACTTTGCCTGCCGACGCCGCTTCCTCGAATGTCTGGGTTCTTCCCATCTGGCACGTAAGCTTGCACCACCCAGTGGGCTCCTTCTTCCCGTGCTGACGAGAGGATGAGGAGGCCAGGAGGATGCGGCGACGAATGAGTAGGAGGAGGGAGCGCAAGGACAAATTGAGGAGGGGGAGGCGGACCAGTGCAAGCCCACGACGCATCAGCGATGCTGCGAGAATCTTCAGCAAATGTTCCTCGTGATGGGGCCCTTGCAGGAATTATTGCGAAGGCCTTGCGGCCGGTGCCGCCGACCCCGAAGGCGGCTCTTCCCTCAGGGCCCCCGCGGGCGACATCCCCGGGACCAGCCTGGGACCCGTCTGGGGTCCCAGGGGGGTGCGGCATTCTGACCTGGGACACCCCCCCTTCAGGGAGGGGAGAGAGGGGAGAGGATCGACTCCACGACGACGTTTCTTTTCATTGCTGCTCAATGTCCTTGGGACTGTCCACGGCGACGGCGACGACGACGAGGGCAAAGCTTCTCGGACACGCCGAAGGGTCGGGGGATTCTCATTGCGGGAAACGTCCCATTGGAAGACAACCGTCTGAGAATATTGAACCGTGCCAAAACATTATTCCTGGGACGCCAGCGTCACGAATCAACGTGACTGTTGCGTCCTGGTGAGCCTAGATCGCGCCAGAACACCATTCCTGGGAGTTCAACTCCGCGAACAAACGTGAATGCTGCGTCCTGATAATGCAAAACCGCGGCAGACTAGTATCCTGAGATTTCAAGAGGTTTCAAACAGACGCACCCTTGAGACGATTGCAAATTTTCAAGGCTAATGTGCGCAGCGCTGAGGCGAGAGCCATATTTTGAAAAGGGCCCGCCCTCCATTCGTGAAGCTGTTTCAAATGCCAAGCTTCGGAAGCTCCAGAATCGTAAATGATGTGGAAGTCTCTAGCGAAACGCTCGGCCCGCCCCGACGACACGTCTGGGGGTGCGACTTGGGAGGAGCTACTTGTGGGAAAGAGAGATGACAAAAAGAGGGGAGGGGGATGTGGCGGATGGGCAGCAGGTCGGAGTTGCGATCCCCCTATTTTTTCGCAGCTGCCACCCCCTACAGTCGGGGCCCTGTAGAAGAAACCCTTTTCGTTGGGGAGGGGCTCCGCGTTCCTTAAGTGTTTCGCAGCTTGCCTCAGGTTTTCCTTAGGTTTTCGACGGGAAATCGAAGTTTAATCCATGGAAAAAAGAGGCCTCGTTCCTTATTTATCGTGCCTTATGTCAAGGCCCCGACTGCACCGGGCGACGGGACGGCACCGCATGGCGCTGAACACTGCAGCGGGAAGTTCTCTTTTTTGAATCGTGCGCACCTGCGGGAAGCTGACTGCCCCGAACAGGGCCAGAGGATGCTTCTTGAGAGAGAGTCCCGAGCGATGTCGCAACCTCCTGGCGGCACGAACATCGATCCCCAGGAAGTCCCCAGCGGAATCGCCAAGCTGCAGACGGCATGGCCTATTTTTCCAGACCGCCCTGGAAGGTGACTGCAGCTTGCATGAGGAGCTCTCAAGGCGGAATGCCACTTTCAGACGCTCTCCCCGCTTGGCCTTTTGCAGTCAACCCGCACAGCAAGGATGGGCAACCTTCCCAAGGGTACCCTTGTATCCTTGCCTCCTCGGTCCATCCTTCGCCACTTTCGTCGGCCGCGCCCCGCTCGAAGAGCTTCGAGATGGGCGTTCGAGGCCCTTGCATCCTTTGTCGCGCATCCTTCCTATACGGGTTGACTGTAACTTATCAAAAGTGGTGAGACCTGGCATCGTTTGGACGTGTGCATCTCTCCCCCGGCGAGGACCATCTAGGAGCATCCTCGATGATTTGGCGAAAAAATACCACGCACGAGACCAGCAAGCAACACCGGGAAGGGACGTCCGAGCGACGGCGAGGCGAGATGCACCTGGAGCTCCCAAAGCCGGCATGGAGACCAACATTGCCCCGGGGTCCCCCCGCGGCCCCGCGGGTGGCCCACCGCGTCTGCCTCGAACCCCGCCGCCCCCGCTGCCTTACGCTCAAAAACCCGGATGAGGACGCGCGACGTGGCTCCGGGAACCCCTGCGTCCTTGCTCTTCCTTGCTCTTGCGTCCTCGAGGCGTTCGTCGTTCTTCGCCGCCCCAGCGATCCCAACTTCGGCTTCCAAGGGTCTTTGCGTCCTTGCCGCGCGTCCTCATGAGGGCTTTTGGCTGTCATCCAGCGGGTGGCAGGGCTCGGGTGCGCGGGGAGCCGGCTGCTCCGTGCAGCTTCCAGGCTGCCCTGCCAGTCCCTCCCCCTCTCGCCTGTAGAGCGTTGCCCCGCTTCTCGCTGCCGGCCTCGCTGGGGCAGTTCCGTCGGGTACGGCGCCGGTCGTCTCCCCTTCACCCCCTCGCTTCCCTGCCCCCCTTCTGGCCTCGGAGAGGTTTCCTCCGAACGCCTCCAGGCACGCCCGTGCCGATTCACAGCGTGCCGGAAGCGTCCACTCCCATGCCGCCCGCCTCTCTGTGGCGCCGTCGTGCTACACGTGGGCCGCGATCGGTACTCAAAAGCGACACCGTGCCACTGCGTCGGTCTGCACACGTCCGCCACGGCGTCTGTGAGTTGCCCGTGCAGTGTCGAAGGGCACGCGGCACATCCGCTGCGCGTTGAGGCCGCATTGTGCCCACAGCGGATGCTGCTCAGCCGTGCACGTCTGCGCGGATGTCGTGAGGCCGTCTCCAGCGAAAGTGTGCCCAGCCCAGGCCAAATCAGACACATGCTGAGGACGTCTCGGGCGCACGCCGGGCCAGACCAGCACCGGGCAAAGGTTGGGGACGTGTCGGGCGAGCCCGCGCCGAGACCAAGCCAGGCCAAACCAGGGGCCAAACCGTTGTGGAGGACGACCGATGGAGAGGAAGCATGTTGCGAAATGATTTCCAGATGTCTAAAACGTGTACGAAACAGGTTTTAGACATGCTTAAAGTATGTTTAGAACATGTCTCCTACATCTCAAACACCTTTTAAGATTCGAGGGGAGGACTGTTCGGGTGTCCATTGTCGTGGCATCCACAAACGAACCGGCCAGATTTTGAGGATGTTTCAGTTGGGGCGCGCGACCAAGCCAGGTCAGACAAGACCAGGCCAAGGAACAAGCCAGGAAGACACTGAGAACGTGCCAGGCACAATCGTCCAAACCAGGCCCCATCCAATCTCCCAGGTGAGATTCTATTTCAAGATGTGGCTCACCCCAGGGCTCCCCTCCGCAGGCGGATGCCCGTTTAGAATGTTATGGGTGCGGGCGTTTGGAACGCGCGCCCGCTGATGCGGCCGTGGTTGGGCGCGGAAGGCTTCATTTTTGTTTCGGGTGCTGTTGGGGCTTTAGTGTGGCGTTAGGAATAAACTGCCGAGCCTGTAGACTCTAGTAGCGGAGAATCTACGCGTCAGGGACTTGTCGGTCCATCAGTAGGTTCACCAAGAGGTTCACAGGGGGAAAGGTTGGGCAGTCACTCTTGGTCAAGTTTTTGCTAGTGTGCATGGACTCGTGAAAGCGGGGCTCGACAGCAGGTGTGAGGCAGACCACGGGATCGGCAACATAACTGACGAAGTAACATGGGCAGGGCGCAAGACGATGACCAACTGGAGAACCAGCGCTCGAGTCAGTTTCCCCCCTCTTCATGCAGCTGGTTTCGGCCTCGCCGAGGGGCCCATTCCTCGATACGTCGCCGCCGGGAGGCGCCGGGAGGCGCCGGGAAAATCAGCTACGTGAGCCGATTCTCAAACCCCCCCTTTGCTATCCCCCCCTTTCGCCCGACCCGAGACCCGTGCTTCCGTCGTCGCTCAGACGGGTGCCCTCCTCGGCCACGGCGCCGGCGGGGCCGGGCACGGCGCCGATCTGGAGGACGGCGGGGGAGAGCCGAGCGCCACCACCCCGCACCAGCCGCTCCTCGGCGCGCGTCGGCGGGGCCACCTCTCGGGCGCTGGGAGGGCCGTGGCCTCCCAGGCTCCTGCCCTCCCCCTCCTCCTCCTTCCCCCCCTCCTCCTACTCCTCCTCTCCTCCTCCCTCCTCCTCCTCTCCTCCTCCCCGCTCCTACTCTCGTCCTCCTCCTCCTCATCCTTTTCCTCCTCCCTCCTCCTCCTCCTCCTCCTCCTCCTCCTCCTCCTATCCTTATTCCTTATTAGAATATACTCCTACTCCCCCCTCAGGCCGGCAGATAGGGGCCCCATCCGGGTGGTCCCATCCTAACCTGTAAAAAACAATACAAAACCAACATGTTTCTGATTTGTTCCTCTCGACATGGACGTCCTGTCGTCCACGGCGATAATCCATTGCAAAAAATACCACAAAGAGCACACGCGCGCGTTCATGTCAGAATCCTACCGAACACCGTGTGTTTGCAAGCATTTCAACATAAAAACATCAAAAACCCAATGCTTTTTCACAAAAATTGTACAAATTTCCCGCCCGGGCTCTCTTGCTGAAATCATAGGAAAACCATAGGAATCTTAAGAATTCGGTCAAATCCAGCGATTTCACGTCATCGCGCGGTGCACTCGCGATGCTCTGTCATGCACCCAGGCCGCGAATCCTGTGCAAAAAATACCACAAAGAGCACACTCGCGCGTTCATGTCAGAATCCTACCGAACACCGTGTGTTTGCAAGCATTTCAACATAAAAGCATCAAAAACCAAATGCTTTTTCACAAAAATGCTTTGGGGTGTCCTGTCAGACCGTCGGGCTTCCTCCGGCCACCTCTGGCTTCCTGCGGTGTACCGGGCCATTCTCGACTCGTCTGGCAATGCGTGCGCGGCATTCAACACGCGCTCGCCAGTTCCCGTCGGCAACCGCCATCGCGGCCGCATCAGCTGTACCAAACCGGCTGGCCGGTGTGACTTCGGCCCCCAGTTGTGCCAGCTTTGCTTCTTATGTTGTGGGAGGGCGGGTGGGACTGGGCATGCCATGCTTGACTCGCTCGAGCTGGCTAGCTTGACTCCTACTCCTACTCCTCCTCCTCCTCCTCCTCCTCCTCCTCCTCCTCCTCCTCCTCCTGCTCCTCCTCCTCCTCCTACCCCCCCACCCCGCCGCTTGTGATGGAAGGACGGCGTGTGGGGGCGGGGGCGCTCGCGACGGAAGGTGCCCGGGAGGCTTCGGGCCCTGGATCATTGGGCCACGCGTAAATCGGGGGCAGCAAAGACGAGGGTGATGACTAGGGGGGGGGATATCATGGCGTGGGCCATGATATTTCCCCAGATGTCATGCCGCCTCTTCTTATTTCATTGCGTCCCTGGCCCCCCCGCTGGGCCGCGCACGTGCCGCCAGTCATGAGTTGCACCCTCCCCTCTTGGACACCCCCCTCTTGGCCGCTCCCGAGTAAAGGGGGAGCGACGAGTGGGGTGGCGGGGGCGGCGAGGGCTGCAGCAAAGGGGCCCCTTTCAGAGGCCCCAGAAGGGGGGGGGGGCCTGTAGGGTCCGAGAAGTGCAGCTCTCTTCCCCTCCCGCAGGTATAGCCCCCCCCCGCCCCCAATGAAGCGACGCCCAAGAGCGGCCACGCGCACAGGGGGGTAAGGTCAGCTTGTGATTCGCAGATGACCGGACCCCCCCCCCCCGGGGCTGATGAACAGCCCCCGCGGGGCGCGATGCTTCTTTCTAGTCACGCGCGCCAGGGGGGAGGAGGAGGTGAGAGGAGGGGGAGGGAGGCGAAGGAGGAGAGGGAGGAGAAGGATGAGGACGAGGAAGAAGAGGAGGAGAGGGAGGAGGAGGAGGAGGAGGAGTAGGAGGAGGAGAAGGAGGAGGAGGAGGAGGAGGAGGAGGAGGAGGAGGAGGAGGAGGAGGAGGAGGAGGACGAAAGGCTGTTGAAGGAAAGGGGTGGTTTCGAAGCGTGCTGCGCGCAGCTGGTTTCGGTCGCCCCGCCGAAGGGCCAGTCCTCCACGCATGGCCGCTTTCGGCGCCATGAGGCGCTTGGAAAATCGGCGATGCGAGCTGGTTGGCAAATCCCCCCTTTGCTGCGCCCCAGTTTCGTGCAGGCCGCCTGGCCCGCAGTCCCGCATCGGTTCGACAGAAATGGGGCGCCCTGGCTCGCCCTTGCCTCCAAACACCCCCCCCTTACCCCTCGTTGGCGGCCGGGCGTCGGCGCTAATCACCAGCGCCGCCCCGTTGATTTTCAATCTGGCGGGCGCCACCCCGCGACTCGCCCGAGCAGGGGGATTATTTTTCTTAAACACGCGCCCGCCACGGATTAGTTAATCACGAGCTGACAAGGGGGGGGGGGGAGAGGCGTCTTCGTAGCACCTCTGCTTCTGAGAAGCCTTCCCCCCTCCCCCCACCCCTTTGTAATCTGCGCGCGACACGAATTGGAGGATTTCCCATCTCGTGAGGGCGGCGGTGATTCCCATGGCCAGTCCACGATTGGAGTTCCACCGGCTTCCAGACCTTGGGTTCTTTCTCGAAGAACTCTGTACCCGGTGCCCTCGCCGCAGGGGAGGCGGAAAGGGGCGGCCGCCGTCGCGTTCAGTCGGGCCTGTCCCTCTACAGGAGGAATGTTCAAGAATAGTAAAAAATAGTCACGGGACATTTTTTTTTTGAAGCAATTTTTGAATATTTGGGGGCATTTTTGGGGTATCTTTCATTTTTCGCCCAAAATCCCCCTGTAGGGGGACAGGCCCGACCTAACCGTCGCGCCGCGGAGACAGTGCCCTGCCGCCCGGCGGGAGGTGCTGCCGGGCTCCCCGATCGACGCCGAGCTCCAGGACGCCGGCATGGACCTGCGCACCTTCTACAGCTGCATGCCCTCGGCTCGGCCAGCGCGCGGGCCACGAGCGGCGAACACGAGCGGCGAACACTTGGGTACCTTTGCATCCTCGCCTCCTCGGTCCATCCTTCGCCACTTTCGTCGGCCGCGCCCCGCTCGAAGAGCTTCGAGATGGGCGTTCGAGGCCCTTGCATCCTTTATCGCGCATCCGTGCTATACTGGTTGACTGTAAACCATTGAAAGTGGTGCGACTTGGCATCGCCCGGACGTGTGCAGTCTTCCTTCGGCGAGGACCATCGAGGAGCATCCTGGATCCTGTGGCGACAAAAAAGTCACGCACGAAACCGAACAAAAAGCACAGGGAATGGACGCCCGATCGATGGCCAGAACATGTCCATGTCCGCGGCCTCGCGGCCTGTGAGTCCAGGGCGCCACCGCGCGGATGCGCGGTCGCGCGGGTGCGTTCTGCGCGGGGCATCCGCGAACAAAGCGCGCGGCATCTGCGGGGTCGCGGCCCAGGGGCCCGGTACGCGAGGCCGCAGATACGGACATGTGTTTTGCTCACGAGGGGGGGCCCAGAGGGTCCCGTCGGTTCCCCCCGAGGTAAGCACCCGTGCACGGCTGCTTCGGCACCGCGCACGGGGACCCTGAGATCCGAACCTTGCAATGCTGTCACACCTGTTCGCCCAGTTTCGGTCCCCAGGACCATCACATATCGACCCAGCCCGAAAGCTGCCGTAGAAAGATAGGCGTGACGGGGCTAGGACGAGGATAAATCCCTTCCATGGCTTTTCCGGAACGCTCTCAGAGCGTTCCGGCACGCTCTGAGGAGGCCGCGGCGCTCGATACGTCTTCTTCCAAGACTGCCAAGTCTCAGAGATTCTTTGATTTACCCTCACCCGGTTTTGTCCTCGCCCTGGCTTCGTCTTGGTAGGGTCTACGGCTCGGTTGGTTCGCATCGTCGGGATTCGGGGGAGCGGCGGGGACAACCCGGCATGCAGTGGGCACTCCCTCGCGCAGGGCGGCGCGGGCAGAGCATGGCGGGAAGGGGGGCCACCGTCCTGCATCGACGGGAGTCCGAGTCCGCCGACTGCTCGTCGGGGTGGTGCTGGAGTTCGGGGCCAGAGGTGGGCATGGATCCGCACGTTGGGAGGCGACTGCTGGGAGGTCTTCGTCGGAAGGACTGGGGAGAATGGAGCCCTATGGGGGGGCTGTTACGCCGGATTGGGCCGCGGATTGAGCGGGATCGAGCCGGATTCAGCGGGATCAAATTGGACTGAACGGGATCCCGCCGGATTCAGCCAGATTTCGAACCAGAATTTGCCCTCCCAAGAGTTGCATCCGAACGCACTGGCAAGCTTACCGCCTCCTGGAGAGGTAACAGCTTGATCTGCTCAGGAACTACAGGCTCTGCGGGGGGGGTGGGAGAGATCCTTGGGCACCGCTCGCACCGTGCCACCTCGTCACCAGCTCGTCGAAGGACCGTCGAGGCACCCCTTGGGTCTTATGTGGCCCATGGAGTGTCTCGAGCCACTGCCAAGGCGTTGCTTCGACATTACCCCCGCATGGCCAAGACATTGTTGTATACGAGCTTGGCAGAGCCCACGCATGACCAAGCGCACGCCCAAGGCACGGCCCCAAGCACGGCTCTGGCACTATTCTCACGCTGTCTAGGCATGACGATGGCATGGCCGTGCACGTCCTGATTTCGGCCAGTGCATAGCTTTTCTGGAAATTTCCAGCTCATGCACGAGCTGGGCGTTGCTGCGCGGGTCTTATTTAGGCATGGCCCATGGATGGGGCAGCCACGGCGTTAAGCACAGACGTCAATGCATCACGAAGAGGTTTTACACACAGTCCGCTGTGCAGTAAAAACGCGATGCTCATGGTAGAAGGGGCCTGTCCTACGTCAGCGCTTGTGCTCACAGTGCTGGGCACATGCAACCAGATTGGTTCGCATATCGTTAGTTTACCCCGTGCCTCGATTTCCCCAAGAGGCCGCGAACCATCGTGCGGCCCTCTCCTTCCTCTTGTTCTCTCCTGTTCAATGTCGTCGTCTCCATGGCTTTCTGTTGTTATTTTCTCTATTCCTTGCTGTCCTGACGCTCACCTTCCAGAACTTTCTTTGTACACATTCCCCGATTATTTGCCGCCTCTGCATTCTATCTTCAGATACATACACACACTTATGTATGTATGTGTATATATATATGTATATACATACATATAAATTAGAAAATAGGCCCGGTCCCCTCCTGGGGCGTCCTCTACCGCGATGACATTTGGATTACGCTCCTGGTACCGCGCTTCCCGACCTCCCGGGGAGCCCCCAAAACGCCCAAGGACAGCCCAAGACAACCCCAAGAAGCCCCCAGAACGTAAAAGAACGGCCCATGACGCTCCCGAGCAACCCAGGATGGCTTTCGGGCGGCTCTACAGGCTCCCAGGGGGCCTCCAAGCGACCTCAAGAGAGCTCCGAGAGGCGTCCCGAGAGCGCCCGGAGAACCTAAAACCGTTAATTGTCACATGTTTTTCCCCACATCCAACGTGGGCTTTTTGTTTTCTCTGGACACCCCGCGCAGGAACACAAATGATCACACACTCACTGACACTCACATTCACTCACACACAGACCATCGTGATCACCTTGACACTCACTCGATCACACACGCACTCACCAATTCACTCATCATCTGCATCATCCTCATCATTATCATCATCATCATCATCATCATCATCATCATCATCATCATCATCATCATCATCACTCATTCAGTCATTCACTCACTCACTCACCCACTCATTCGCTAGCTTGAATATGGGGGAAGTATCAGGCGGGAGGCTCGTCTGTGAGTGGATTACGAGGAAGTTTCAAGCGGGAGCCCTCTCCCTATGGGGCCCGCGCTTCATAGTTTTCATCCGAGCGGGTCATCCTCGAACCTGTAACTGTCGTCACTTTTGGGTTCTTGAGGCTTGAATATGTGGGAATTATCAGGCAGGATGCTCGTCTGTGAGTGAATTGCGATGAAGTGTCAGGCGGGAGCCCTCTCCCTATGGAGCCCGCCGTTTATTTTTTTCATCCGAGCGGGTCATCCTCGAACCTGTAATTGTCGTCACTTTTGGGCTTCTGAAACCTGAACATGGGGGAAGTATCAGGCGGGAGGCTCATCTGTAAGTGAATTGCCCTCCCCCTATGGGGCCCGCGCTTCAAATTTTTAATCCGAGCGGGTCACCCTCGAACCTGTAACTGTCGTCACTATTGGGCTCCTGAGGCCTGAACATGGGAGAAGTATCAGGTGGGAGGCTCGTCTGTGAGTGAACTGTAGGGAAGGCTAAGGCGGGAGCCCTCTCCCTATGGGGCCCGCCGTTTTATTTGTTTCATCCGAACGGGTCATCCTCGAGCCTGTAACTGTCGTCACGTCTGGGCTCTTGAGGCCTGAGGGGCCTGAACATGGGGGAAGTATCAGGTGGGAGCCTCGTCTGTGAGTGAACTGTGAAGAGGTCTCAGGCGGGAGCCCCTCCCTATGGGGCCCGCACTTCATGTTTTTAATCCGAGCGGGTCACCCTCGAACCTGTACTTGTCGTCACTATTGGGCTCCTGAGGCCTGAACATGTGGGAAGTATCAGGTGGGAGGCTCGTCTGTGAGTGAACTGTAGGGAAGGCTCAGGCGGGAGCCCTCTCCCTATGGGGCCCGCCGTTTTTTTTTTCATCCGAGCGGGTCATCCTCGAGCCTGTAACTGTCGTCACGTCTGGGCTCTTGAGGCCTGAGGGGCCTGAACATGGGGGAAGTATCAGGTGGGAGCCTCGTCTGTGAGTGAACTGTGAAGAGGTCTCAGGCGGGAGCCCCTCCCTATGGGGCCCGCACTTCATGTTTTTAATCCGAGCGGGTCATCCTCGAACAAGTAACTGTCGTCACTATTGGGCTCCTGAGGCCTGAACATGGGGGAAGTATCAGGTGGGAGGCTCGTCTTTAAGTGAACTGTAAGGAAGGTTTAGGCGGGAGCCCTCTCCCTATGGGGCCCGCCGTTTATCTTTTTTCATCCGAGCGGGTCATCTTCGAACCTGTAACTGTGGTCACGTCTGGGCTCTTGAGGCCTGAGGGGCCTGAACATGGGGGAAGTATCAGGTGGGAGCCTCGTCTGTGAGTGAACTGTAGGGAAGGCTCAGGCGGGAGCCCCTCCCTGTGGGGCCCGCGTTTCATTTTTTTCATCCGAGCGGGTCATCCTCGAACCTGTAACTGTCGTCACGTTTGGGCTCCTGAGGCCTGAAAATGGGGGAAGTAGGGAAGTATCAGGTGGGAGCTGTGTGGGCCCCGGAAACGGCACGGCCGTTCTTTCACCGTTTCCAAAATAATGTCCCTCGAAAATGGAACCGCCAAAAAAACGGCGACCAGAAACGGCAAAAAAAACGGCTCCAGGATTGGAACCGGAACCTGAACCGGTCAAAACACGGCGACGGAACCGGTAAAACAACGGCGTCGGAACCGGCGACAAAAACGGCAAACCGGAACCGGTAAAAAAACGGCCTTGTCGTTTCCAGGGCCCACTAAGGTGGGAGGCTCGTCTGTGAGTGAATTGTGGGGACATCTCAGGCGGGAGCCCCCTCACTCGGGGAGGAACGGGTTGCTCCCGCGCCCCAGCGGCTCGCACGGTTGCCCCAACGGCCTGGCCCGCGGGGTTGCCCCCACTGCCGCGCAGCGCGGCCATTCGAGAATGCGCCCGCGCTGGCCGAGGCGGCGATGGCGTCGAGGAGAATCGACGCGCGCGCTCCTGCAATAGACAGGAGAGGAGGTGGTGGCTGACGAAGCAAAGAGCAGGGGGCGAGGCAAGGGCAACGCGGGGAGCGCGTGAGGGACCTGCGCCAGGGCGAGAACGAGAATGACGCAGAGGAAGCAAGAAGGGTGCCCCACCAATCGCGAGGACGACAGTGAATTTAATTTCCAGATTCGCCGAAAGGATCTTCATGTGGAGTCTTTCCGTCGGCGTAATTCAAGGCTTCTGGCCTTCTCACCATTTCGTGCTTCCAACGCTCCAAC